GCGCGCACCCCGCCCCGCCGCTCCGCTCCGCTCCGTGGCCGCGCCCCTCGGAGAGAAGAGGCCTGCGCGCCGGCCCGAGTGGACGGGGGCTCTTAAAGGAGCCGCGGCCCGCTGCCGCCTGATCGGCCACCGAGACACCCGCTAGCACTTTGACCTTCACTTTCCAGATTGGGGAGTGGTCCAGGAGCCCAGAGACGGATGGAGCGGGGACCAAGGTGGACAGGAAGCATCCCCAGGCACATTGCTCCTCGCGGTCGGAGGCTGGGTTGGAGCGAAGTGTGTGTTCTGGTCCCCTCTGTGTCCATGTCAGTGTCCAGGTGGGTCTGTGGCCACCTCCCCGCCAAGTACACACGCTACCACCAATATGGACGGCCAGGTGCCCGAGAGGTCACTCAAGTGTGACTCCCTGCCTGCGGGACTGAAAACACACCATCCTTGTTTCAAACAAGAAAGCGCAGAACCTGGATGGTTAAGAGTGACCACTGTATTGTGTGCACCAGCACAAGCTTGCTATCTGTTCTGGATGCATCAACGATGTTTCTGGGCCGCCCAACGGGTGTATTATGTGTATCCAGAGCATATGCTTGTAACATACAGGAGCCAATTCTTGTAAGGACCCCCCCCCTTTTTTTTTTGACTTCTCATGGAGAAAGGGGGAGGGGGAGGGGGTAAGGAGCTGAAGTGCAGGCTGCACGTGGGTGCACCCCACACTGAGCATGCTCCCCCCATACACGTGTGACCCGTTTGCACCCAGCCCCCATCCTCACAGCAGCAAAAGGGCTGTCAGAGCACTCTGCTTGTGGAGAGGGCAGAGGCACACAACACCCCGGTGGGCGAGGGGGGCGGCGCAGAGGAAGGGGCAGGTCAGTGGTGACATATAGTTCAGGGAGAGTTCCCTAGGTGTCAGGAATTCCTACTCAGTTATAGGACGGGGGTTTGGGGGAGTCCTTGGATAGGGGTGCCTGAGTGGGTCGACTTCTCCCAGCAGTGCCCGAGCAGCCGTGAGCTGTGGGTGGGCAGGCTCCTTCCCTAGGGGAGACAAGTAATGCTTATGAGTCACACCACCCAAAATACACGCAAAGTTCCATCGCCTTTTGCTGCAACCCAGATTGACAAGTTTGTTTGAGATTGCCATCCACAGGATATATTTATAATCTCACCTTTAAAGAAAAAAAAAATCTTGCAGACATTCCCTCCCCCCACAGCCAGCAGCTCAGCCAGTGGGGCTTCTGCCAGCAAAGATAACTAGAGGGCGGTGGTGGTGATGCCACCCCATCCTTCCCTCCTACCGAAGAGTCTGTAGGCTTGGTGGCCCCAGCGCTGGAGGTGGGAAGCAACCTGGCAGCTGAAACTGGGCGCGCAGCCCAGGAACAGTGGCCGCCCGTTCACCCCGGATCGACCCCCAGCTATGGAATTTCATTTATTAAATGTCGAGGCGGCTGCTGGCAGCCCTGTCGCTTGGCTGCCTTTGTTTCTTAGCTGTGTGGGCGCGTCTCGAGCACGTGGCAGTCAGGGCGCTCAGATCAAAGGGAAAGCGACCTGGGCTTAGTGTCGGTGGACGACCATCTGGCAAAAGGGGAACCTAGCTACCCAAAGAATAGTTTCCCCAAATGCATGCTGGCCTCGCTCCCTTCTAGGGCTACAGGGTTGTTCAGGGGAAGAATGATTCATGGCTCCCCCAACCCCCACCGCCCCATCTCCCGGATGGCTCAGGGACTGACTGCCTGGGAGTGGCCCTAGCACTTACACACTGTCCAAACTTTGTTCAAGAACCCCCACCCTCACCACGGCCAAGATGCAGTGTTTGAAGAAGGCGATAGAAGGGTTTCTGGGTTCCCCGGAGATGTCACCATCCCAGGAAACGGCACAGCTCGAGTGGAATCGCACACAAGGTTCTGAAAACGATTTAATGAGGAACTACTGTACAAGCGTCCTGGAGGGCTCTCCTAGACGTCCCCTCCTGGCGACTCGAGCCCCCTCCTCAACTCAGGCTGCAATCACGACGCTCTGCTGACCCCTAGTGGTGGAGGCGGGCTGCGGACCTGGGCTGTGGAGACGCCTGCCTGTAGGCTCCTCCCAGGCTGCAGAAAGGGGTGAGGCAGCCTGCTCCTCCCTCAGCCCTCCCGGGCCTGGCAACGCTGGGTGTGCAGGAGGCAGGGGAGAAGACCACACAAAGAAACCCCAGAGAGGCACAAGGAGTTTGCAAGCTTTTGCTGGCACCTCCCACAGGAACACTCTTTAGATTGTTGTTCTGAGTCGGGGTGACGAGGAATCCCTTATTTCTGCCTTGGTGTAAGGTGGGCTCCAGGAAGGCGACATGTGCATTCCTACCACCTGTCTCAGCCTGGCTGGAGGAGCGAGAGACGCCAGGCAGTTGCTATCCTTAGCTCACCCCAGGAGGTAGTATCCAATCCCATTCAAGAGGCGAGTGGCCCGAGAAACTCAGAAGTGTAAGCCATTTGCTTACGATCAAGCAGTTGATGCGGTATTTAAACACAGCTCTGTGGACATCACGATCCATTTCTCTTCCAGGGCGTCTTGGTTCTTTTAACAGTTGCAGTTGGCTGCCACAGAGGCCATTTGCACTCTCACCACACTCTGCAAGGGATCCTTGTGGAAGGGCTCGTCTGCTCTGGTCATTCAGGAAGGAGGCCATCTGGACCCAGTCATTTCCCTTAGGCAGGGACCCCCATGGGGTGGAGGTGGGAGGCTGCCACCTGCTGCTGTCTTTGCTCAGCCTCATCCCGATTCTTGCTGAGCAATGGAGGGGAAGGACGGTCTTCTTCGCCCCGTTAGACATTCTCTTTCCAATGCGATGTCTGGAAGATGGGTTTAACTTTCTGAGAGAGCCAAAGACTTGAGAAATATTTCAAGTGTCAGATCCCTGGCTGCTTCAATGACCCTTGGTACTGATAACCCTGAATCCCTCTTAGGGGCCACTCATTAGTCAGATAAGAATCCAGATGCCTCCTCACCCTCCCTGGGATCCAGTCTCACTTCTTCAGGCCACACGTCCTCCCGTCCCAACCCTTCAAGCCAGGCCTGCATGCCTCCTCCATTTCCTTGCAAAAGGCAAAATGCCAGCGGGTGGAGGAGCGCCCCAACCCACCTGGCATCCAAGTAAGGCCTCCGTTTCGGCCGGGCCCGACTCTCTGTCCTCCCTTTCAGGAAATCAGTTCCAGACCGTCTCTGGTGATCCGAAAAGCTCGGTTCCACCAGGCGGACTACAAGCCCCATGATGCTGCGGGGCCGAGCTGTAACTCGCCCAGCTCCGGGCACTCGGGTCCCCTCCTCTCTCACCCGCATCCGCTCATCCCTCGCCGGCCGCTCGGGCTGAGGGCCGGGCTATGCGGTTTAGGGTAGCCGGAGGCTGCGGGCGCGCGTCCCTGCGGCGGCGTCGTCGTCCCCGGGGCCGGCGC